TCGAGCCCACCCGAATAATCTATTGCTACCTCGGGATTGCTGAGGTCAGGACTCTCCAGCAATGCTTATTTTTACATTTCCAAGCAAATACCAAAACCTTCAGCAAAGATTGGGTTGGTATTAATGGGTTTTTGTCCCAGAACTGTATTGTGGATCCCGGAGTCTCCCCCAAATCTATCTATATCAAATTCGTAGAAGTAGAGAGGGATTTTCTTTCCGCCGGCTCTTTAGTTGAGTGCCTGGAAAAAGCCATTGGATACCCCTTAAAATTTAACAACTGAACGTCATCCTTCATAAGGATTTGGGCTCTTACCTCCCTTCTCTACTCACTCTGCATTCCCAAGACTGCCCCCTTATCCAGATGCTGCCATCAGACTCTTCACGGAAACTCGTTCCACAGTCGGGCCAGTACAACTTCAACTGAATTATACCAGACTTTGGGCAGAAAAAACAGACCTCACCTGAAAATGCTCATTTTGAGCAAACAAGATTCACAGCGAACTTGCATGGTGGGTCAGCTGTTCTTTTTTTAAAAACAAAAAGACAATTTTTAAATGGATTTTAGAGCCCTATTATAAACAAATGTAGGTACATTCCATATTGGACAAAACTTACACTTTGAGTTTCATATGAAATTGAAAAATTGTATTTTTTTCACAATGTTTCATTTTTACACATCTCTATGTCTCTATATAAGTATTATTTACAACCCTGAATAAATAAGCAATAGATAATGGCAAGTTAAATCGCGAGTCACAGTAAATAAGACTGTTTTTCAATATCACCCTTAGCTACTATTGTATATAATTTAGAGTTTCATTTTTTTCACCAGCCAAGTGTTTTGCTATTCCCAATCAGTGTTGCCTGCAAAGACCTTTGTTTCTGTGATGTACCAACTTTACGGTTGTGTTGCCATTTGAACTTTTTAAAAAAAAATTATTAAAGTAATTCTTGGCCTCTTGGAGCACTGTTTGAGCTTTTTTGTAGCAGGGCGTAGGCACACCGGTGGTATGACCTATGCAGACTTCGCTGCTCACAACATACAGAACAAAGGGAGCAGGATATCTTCACTCTCTGCACCCCGCTGACCAATGTCATTATTTGTCAGAGCACCAAAGTCACTGGATGTTACATTTTATATTTCTTTTTGAAAAATGGGATATTCTTTCTGACCCTACGTACGTGAATTTGCAAGAGATTCTCCTTCTTCATCTTAACGCTCAGTCGGCAGGGGCCACTCTCTCAAAGAGTATAAGTGGGGAATTATTGTCATCATGCTGTTTATAAAACAGAAAATATAACAGAAACATCCAAAAACTTTTTTTAAGTGATCCACAATAAAGCTTCCTATCTGTCCATTAGGAAGGCAGCTATCCCATTTAGACCTTTCAGGGATTTCTTGGCATCAACTAACCAACACTCCACTTAGAGGTTAGCTTGGCTAACAGCTAGTTTACTGGAAGGGCAGGCAAAGATTACTTTGGTTTCATGGCCGGGACTTGTTAGCTTGATGGTGTATCTTCAATGATTCCCCAACATGTCTCAGGTGCTCTCCTTTAGATGGACTGCAAATCCAGGTAAGAGCTATAATTTCACCCATCTTTTTTATACTATTGAAGATAAAATTGCATATTGATAAAAAAAAAAATAGTCGTCTTCTTCCTACAACCCGAATGGCCTTAAATCAGTGATTTTCTCATCCTGATACCTCTTGGTTGGCTGACGCTTATATTCTGATGGCTAGAGAGCTTATAATCAATGGGATGAGTTTTATTAATGTCTTATTTAATGTATTTTAGTCTAAGTTTAAGGAGTTGGCTGTTTTCTGATATGAGCTGCTAAAAATGGATGCTAGTTGGGGCCTCTGGCTGGCTCACTTGGTAGAACATGTGACTCTCGATCTCAGGGTTGTGAGTTCACGTTCCACATTGGGTGTAGAGCTTACTTAATAAAACAAACAAACAAAAATATAAGTGGATGCTAGTTCAGGGAGAATATAAATATTCTTGGAATTTAAGTGTAGCACCTCTTTTCTCTGGGCACAGTTGACAGGTATGGGCCTTAGGAAATTCTCATGACTTTGCTCTTCTTTGGAACTTGGAATTACAGACATAAAGGCTGAGGCTCCATTGACCATCTTTCAGCAGTAATTTCTTAACATTTAGTGCTAAGTGCTACAGGAAAAAGCATTACCAGGAGTAGCATATGGCATCCCCCAAACTTTGCCGCCAACCAAACCCAAAACCAACATGCTTCATGCATTTTTTTCTATCCCGCTTTCTGTTGCTGTTGAGTTACTTAAGCTGGGGGACCATTTAGTGAGGGTATTTTGGATCTACCCAACATTACTGAGAAGGGGGCATTACTAGAGCACCGTGGGCAGCATGGAGAAGAGGACCAAGGCTGGCTGGATCCAAGAACCAGTGTGTTTTTACCACTCAGCGTGGGATGAGTGAGAGTAGGGGCAAGAGGACAAAACAGCACTGGGAAATGGAAGCTTGGAAAGGAAAGAAAGCAGCTTGCTGATAACTGAATATCCAGTTTCTCTGGCCAGAACAATCTTGAGGAGAGGGTAGCAGGGTATCATGTAACTAATTTGAGCATTATTAAAGATAAAAAAAAACAACAACAACATGGACCTTAATGAAGCCTTAGAACTGAGTCAGGGGGGATGGAGACACTATGTTCATGCTTTGAGAAATGAGATGAAGTACGATCGGAAGAAACACTAGTGACCTGCCTGTCTCCTAACATAGGAAACCATGAACTTAGCTCTCTCATTCAATCCGTTTATGGAAGCAGTCCCCAGGCCACTCATGGGTTATCTGCGAACATTCTCATTTTACACAAGGGTAGACAGCAGTGTTCATCCTAAAAGGCATCCTGGCAAAAACTTTCAGAAAGGAACGGAGCCACTCTGCTAATTTCTGTCACTTTGACTGACCCGGGGTCAGTGGAAAGAAGTGGTTGGAATAGGAGTTAGAATGGGAGATCTTTTGTTTGGGGCGAGGGCATTGAAAGAGTCCTAACGGGATGGCCCCTGTGTTACATGGAGAAGATATTATTTGGGATCTACTTTCCAAAGAAGTTAGCTACAGAGAGTAAGAAAATGTGTGTGTGTGTGTGTGTGTGTGTGTGTGTGTACAGAGAGTGAATATATAGCACTTGGTAGGAGTGAGCACAGCCCATGTAATTAGATGCTTCGGTGTTCCTGGGATACAACCAAGAGACTTGGTACTACCTTTCTTGGAAGGAGTTACCGATGTGGGATAACTTAACCCTAGTCTGGAAATGAAGGAGGAATGTTTACAGGAGGTGGTTTGCAGCGTAAACTAAAGGAAAATTTGAATGTGACAGAATAGAAAAACTAAACCAACAGCCCCCAAGTACACACCCCCCCCCTCTCTCCTTGACAATCCAAGTTTGCAGGCCCTTGCATAAGGGTATGAGATTAGCAGTTATCTGTTTCTGTTGCCTTTGCTGCCTCTCAGCTGCTAAGTATTGGATTCCAGGGTTGCATGAGCGGTCTAGTGTTTGCATAGGCATTTCTCGAAGCCACTGCATGGCAGGTATTTGAAGAGCAGTCAGGCAAGTCACACGAGGCAGAGGCATCCGAGAGGGTGTGTGGGGCAACTCTGTAGAAAAAGACGTTCCACGCAGGCACCCGGACCACACCCGGTGTTAAAACAGAGCGGGACTGTGTGGAATAAATGGAATCGGAGGCCTGGCTGCTTTTTTCCCAGTCAACTGCCACCCAGAGCAGGCAGCGCCAAGAATTTGTTGTTATGCTTTCTGCCCCCGGTGACCTTTGCTCGGTGGTTAAGCTGTGCCCCAATGTTTGAAGCATCTGTATTTGGGCTGTTGGACTGAGAAGCAAGAACAGGTGCGAGCCCGGCTGTGGGGGAGCTGCGGCCGCCAGAGGGCGCAGAGGTGCCTTTGGACCAACTGGGCGGGGGGGCGGGGGAGACGGTTAAATTAAATTCACAGCGAACGAGAGCTGGTCCCGGGAATTAAAGGATCAGAGCCGGCCTGACGACGGATGGGGGGCAGCGAAGATACGGGGATAAAGAAACGGGGGGCTTTGTCGGGTCTTCCTTCCCACAGCCGCCCCCACCTCCCCAGTCAGCCTAAGGCCCATAAGCCATTCTTTTCGCTGGGAGCCGGGCTCCTGTTGCCTCAGTTTCCTGCTTAGCTCCTGGGGCTTTCTTGAGCCGGTCCTTTCCCTGCTCGGGAGCTGAGACACAAGACACAGTGACCTGGGGCCTGGGTTTTAGGGAGTTTCCGAGGACGTGTTGAGAGGCCCTCTCCGCCGCCCGCAGGTGCAGAGGGTCCCCGCACGCCCCGGCCGGCGCAGCTCTGGGCCTTCCCCGGAGTAGACAGTGGGGGCCCCTGCGGGGCTGGGCGGAGGCGGGCTGGGCCGCATCTCTTCCCTGTCCGGTTCCGGAGAACCTGGCCCCCTCCCGCCGCTCCGCCCCACAGCCTGCGGAAGCCCAGTGGCTCCGGGACAACGCAGCCCCCCTCTTCCTCCATCAGGAAGGCCGCCCCGCTTAGGTGGAGGACGCGGTACCCCCAAGCTCGGAGCGGTGGCCAGAGTCTCGGCCGGCTCAGGTGTCAGGGGTGCGGGCGGCTCCTGGACGTCGGAGAGTCCTCCAAACCTCCCTCGGTTCCCCATCTTCCCCCCACCCCGGCGGCGGAGGGGGAAGGGTATGGCCCCAGTGTGGGAGTTCAGGCCCCTTCCCTTGTCCCCTGGCCCCCCGGCCGGCTGTGGGGGCACCGAGACTTACCGGACCCCACCCTGCGTCCTGCCAGGGTGGAGGCCGCGAGATCAGGCCGTCGGAGCGCTGGAACCGCCCCCCCCCCCCCCCCCCCCTGGGGGCGGGTCCCCCGCACGCCCCGCCCGGGAAGACCGCGACCTCTCCGCCCCCTCGAACGCCCCGCCCCCCCCGTCCCCGTCGGTCCCCACCCCGCCGGCGGGACACACACGCACAGATTCTGGCTAGAGCCGCCCTCGGTGTCAGTGGCCCGACTCCTGCGTCCGCCCCAGCTGCCTACTCGCCTCAGCACCTGTCGCTCGGTGTGTCCCAGAGCCGGCGCCCCTTCCTCCGTCGGGGCCAGGGAGTGCCATGGTTTCCCTGCCCAGGCCCCCTGCGACCAGCTTGCTGCGGTTTTTGTTCCTGGGGCTGAGTACCCTCGGTGAGTGAAACGTGCCCCGGGAGGGAACTTGAGACGGGTAATGGGATGAATCCGACCCTGAGGGAGGTGGTCTTGGGCACTGATGAAGGAACTGAATGGATGGGGCCACCCCCCTCTGACTCTTGCCCTCCTCCCCCCACACTCCCTCCCCCCTCTACCCTCCCAGGGCATCACTGGGTGGGGTTGACTTCTATCTCCGCTCTGTCCTGACAGCTACCACTTTGGATGTGGACTCTGCCTGGTTGGAGAGAGGGTCAGGGCATCTGTGTGGGTAGATCTCTCTGTGAGTTGTGCGAACCATTCCTCACCAGCACTCCCCACCTCCACCCAGCAGGGCCAGATGAGCGGCTAGATGAGACACAGGCTAAAGAGCTTAAGGACTTAACTCCAGCCCCCTCAGGTCCTTCACCCCACACTGGAGCTGATATGTAAGAACCCCAGGAATCCCCTGGATCCCAGGCTTGGCAAACGCACTTCACATCAATTCCCCAGCCCAGATCCTCCCTCTACCCCCCTCCAGCTTCCTGCCCTGGGAATAAAGGGAGGTGCCCCAAAAGTTTGACTGTGAGGTCACTTGGGACACAGGAAATGGGGGAGGGGGTTGAATGCCTAAAGGAGCAGAATTTGACCCCCCCCACACCATGAGGTCCACCACCCCCATTGGTTCCCAGAGCCAAACGGACAAAGGAAATAGAAGTTTCCTCAAAGAGTCAGAGAAGAAGGGCTCTTCCTTGGAGCAAGTGCTCAAGGAGTGTTGAAGGCTTCCAGGAGCTCTCAGGAGCTGGGGATAGTCCATTGTGACATCTGGAGAGTAAGGGCCCAGCAAGAACTAAACCCATTATAAGCGTCTTCCTCTGGGGCTGTCTTGCCATCTCTTTTCAAGGATCTCCAGAAGGGTGAAGGGTGAGTTTGTCAAGGTCAAATTTAACTCATTTCACTCAGGTTGGAAGTCACAGATACAGAGAGAGTGAAATTCATCCACAGTGATGGGGACAGAGACAGGGACCAGCTAACTCTCACCCATGCCCCCTTTAGCCTGATTTGTGCTGCAAGAGTGTTGGGGCATGAAGTGATTAGGGTCCCTAGACAAAGAGGACTCTGAGCAGCCCACCCGCCACACCAAAGCCTGGACAGATTCCTGTCCCTGTAGGCTCGGTGGGCCTGCTCCGGATCCCTTCACTTCTTGGCTACCTTCTCCCAACGGCAACCTCAGCACCCCTTTCCCTTCTGCATTCTATCCCCAACTGCCCCATCTCCCTGCTGGGGCTTTTGCCAAGCAAGGGAGAAAAGTCCCAGTTCTTGCTTGGGCAGTGTCTGCACCTCTCCTGCGACTTCTCCTTTTCCTATCCTAACTCTGGCCCTCAGTTTTCACAAGGACAGCCCAGGCCCAACCTCCCTACCAGGCGGCCCAGGGGGTTGCTGACCTCCACCAACCACTCAAGAGTTAACTGGCACTGGGGCCCAGGGCGCTGGGGGCAGGCACCAGCTCTGCTGGTCTCTCCGGCAAGGGGCTGTGGGGAGGCCCCACAGCTCCGCGCTCCTTGGTGGCTCTGCGCTGCTGCCCCTGGGGCGTGAGAAGCCCGAGGGGGGAGTTTCTCAGAGAAAAAGAGACTAAAAATAGTAGCGTCGGGAGCAGGCCCATTTTTTGTGCTCCTTTGGGCCTTGCCGGCTCCATCACTCTGGTCTTGGAGTGGGCCAGAAGGGTCCCTTTCTTGGGCTGTTCCTGTGTCCTTCACTCGGACCCAACCACTCGGTTGTCCTCTGCCTGTGGTACCACGGACCCTGCCAGCAAAAAGGGGCTTCTGCTGCCGCGGACACCCAGGCCTGAGGGTGTCCTAGTTTCAGCTCTTAGTTTCCCACTGTGGCGTAGGACAGGGAGCATTTGCCCAGACCCCAGTGTGTCCACCACTAGCTCTTTTACCGCTGCCATCTTTCGCAATGAATAAAGGTCAATGCAGAACCTGGGGGAGGTCGCCGGGGGCACCTGCGGCGAAGGAAGCTCGCATGTCTCCCGGGCCCCAGGCAGGTTTCCCGACGGGAACTGTTTGCGGCCTCCCGGGAGTGCGCTGCAGAAAGGCCGGGGGAGATCCGGCACCGCCCGCAGGCCTCCTGTCGTCCCGGCCTCCCGAGACCCGCGTGCGGGCTAGGTCCGCCCCGGTCACCAGAGGGGAATCGGGCTCCTTGAGGCGGAGTTTGTTTTCTCCTGTAGAGCCTCCGGTCCAGCGGCGCCCCGGTCATTGTCTTCTGGCTTATCACCGGGCACAAGTTTCCTGCCCGGTCCGCAGGGACCCGCCAGGAAATGGATAGGGGGGTGTCGCGAAGGCCAAGGAATAGGGGTGGGGGTTCTGGAAAGACGCGCAGGCGGAAAGCCGTGGGGGTGGCTCGCATCCTGGCCGGATCCGCGCCGGGGCCTTTAGGGGCCTGCAGCCCGGCTCCAGGAGGGCGGAAAGCCCGGCCTGCGTGCGGCCTCTGTCCGCGCCTTGGCCGCCTGGTCATCACGCGGAGATGGCGTCTCAGACTCAGAGTGCGGAGGCCAGGGGCTACGGTGGCTAGCCTCCTGGGGCCTGGCCGGTCCAAGCCCAAGGTTATTCCTCCCAAGGGCTTAGGATTCCGCTGCTCCATTGCCTCTCTGAAGGGCAAAAAGTGAATGTTTCTGGACGTCATCAGCAAGCACTGGTTCCACTGTCCTCTCCTCGAAACCGACACCCCAGTCCACCTCCTGAACGCCAAACACACGCAGATTTGTACTTGACTGCTAGGGTGCCTTCGTTCGTGTTCCAGTTCTGCCCATGATTTCCTGCGACCTCATAGGACCCTCCCAGATCGCCTGGACCCCCAAAGGGCCCCTTTCTGGGCCTCCACTCTCCGTTTTCCCAGGGCAGGCCCTGGGTCGGGACAGAGCGGGAGGCGGGGGAGCGCGGCCGTCAGTCGGTCAGCTGGAGCGCTGGGCGGCTCCGGTCTCTCCCTCCGAGCTGTTAGTTCAGAAGGAGCCGCGGGTTAATTGCTAATCCGGCGGCCTCCCAACCCCCTCTGCCCGTCAGGTTGAGAAGCAGGAGCGGGGAACGCTGGCGATCCTGACCAGCGTTGCTACGTCCTCTTGGCTCCCTCCCGGGGGAAATTGAGGGAGCAAGTGGGCTACGTAGAGTGCAGATTAAAAGTATTCAACACTCCCTTCCTCTTAGAGATCTTCCTCTCCCCTTGCCCTGGAAATTGGCCCCCTCTTCTTGGTGCTCTGAAATCTGCTAGTCTGGATACAAATAAATGCACAGAAATGGGTCCCTACCCCTGTTAGGAACCCACAGACAGGCCGAGATTACGGAGAATACCTTCTGATGAAAGCAGGACACTAGGTCAGCAGTCCCTGGGCAATGCTCGAGGCCTACACAGGTGGGACCCTGCCGGGGTCTTCCTCTCCTCCCGCTGCGCTGGGCAAGATTCGCAGGCGGAGGAGCCAGAAACCAGTCCTCCAAGCTCATGCCTCCGTGCTCTTGTCCTCAGCGTCCCCCTCACAGGCCCAGCTGGAGCTCCACGTGCCCTCTGGCCTCACCAGGTTGAAGGCAGTGGAAGGATCAGAAGTGGTGCTCCCAGCGTGGTACACCGTGCAAGGACAGGTATCTTCGTCCCAGCGGTGGGAGTTGCTCACGGTGATGTGGTTCTTGGAGCAAGAAGGGAAGGATCTGAACCAGGTGAGGGAGGGTAGCATTTCAGCCGGAGGCTACACGCTGTGGCTGAGTGTGGGGAAGAAGTGGCCAGAGTGGGAGGGTTGGCGGGGGGGGGGGGGGGGGAGTGGGGATGGGGAAGGAATATTCAGGAAAAAGTAAGGTCCTCCTCACCAGCTCAATTTTTGTTCTGACCTTGGAGGCCCCCAAAGAATTTTCTTTTCCCCAACTTAACCTAGAAATCCAGGACACAAAACACAGGAACGTGGAAAGGCATTTTGCTTTGCTTTGGGGGAGGGGCAGCGAGGATTGGGGTTTGAGGACCAGGGAAGGGTTAAGGCAAGTTTCTCACAACATGAAAAAGCTGAGCATCTTCCTATTTTCACCTTCTTTGTGCTTTTGGGCGCTGTCACAGGCCACTTCTCTTCCCGAATCCATCCCACTGCCCCAGGGGCAGTCTCCTTTCCCAACCTCACATCTACCCTCCTTCCTGATATCAGACTTCTTCTCAGAGGCTATTTACCTGGAAGCTAATGAAACTTCATTTTCAGAGCCCCTTATTTGCTTGGGCTCTCCCAAGGCTCTGGAAAGTATTTTCTAGAGGTCATTTGATAAATAGGAGTACATATGAGAGAAATCTAAATTGCAGGGGTACATCCAGGGTTTCACAGAGCCTGAATTTATACATAGGGAAGAGGGGACATCTTCAAGAAAAAGATTATAAAAAGATTAAAAAAATTTTTTGACCTACTCCCTGTAATCTAAGTTTCTTTCATAAATACCTTCTGTTTACATTATCCCTCACCCATCATACCACCTTTCTAAACACCCTAAGAGGGAGATGAGGAGACAAAGCATTCGGGATCTAGAACTGTCCCAGGGAAGAGGACCCAGGGGCAGGGAGAGAGAGGGGAGGGAGACAGTGGGGGGAATGGGGAGCTGGGACAGGTCAGAGGAAGTGACTGCAGGGGAGAAGCAGTTGAAGACTGCCAGTTTGAGGGAGGGGGGATTAGCTGAACCTGTGGGCACAGGGCACACGTAGAATAACGGGGAGGCATTGTGTCCCACACCAGGTGCTGGCGTACATCAGTGGGACCACGTCAAGCAAAAGTGGGGTATCCTTGGTCTACTCCATGCCTTCCCAGAATGTGTCACTGCGGCTGCAGGACCTCCAGGAGAAAGACTCTGGGTCCTACCGCTGCTCAGTGAATGTGCAAGACCACCAAGGCATCAAAAGGAGCCACAGCAGCAAAACTTTAGAACTCAGTGTGCTGGGTGAGTGAGCAGCACACACTTGGCAACACCTTCCCCAGCCCCACGGGAGCCCAGGCAGGTCTGTCTCCCAAAGGGCTGAGTGTAAACATTAGAGGAGGGCAGACAGAGTGACAGAAGGCTGGGTGTGTGTGTGGGGGGGGGGGGGGGGAGGGATCTGTTTGTCCCCTGGGGTTGAGCTTTTAACCTGTCTCCCTGCTTCAGTTCCTCCAGCTCCTCCATCCTGTGGTCTCCTGGGTGTGCCCCGTGTGGGGACCAATGTGACCCTGAGCTGCCAGTCCCCGAGGAGTAAGCCAGCTGCCCAGTACCAGTGGGAGCGGGCACCCCCATCCGCCCAGGTTTTCTTTGCACCAGTTTTAGGTGAGGGAACTTGAGGCAGTGGCTGGGGGAGGGAAAGATGAGAGGCACCAGAGGGACTGGGGTGAAAGGGGAGGTCGTGCTGCAAAATTCTGGGGTGAAGGAGGGAGTGGGGAGAAGGGATGGAAAAAGAGGGCCCAGCAGGTGCAGGCTCTGTGTTGGGGGCTTTCACATGTTGTATACTTATGTCACTGAAGAGGCTCTTGAGCTAGATAATATGCATTCAAATTCCAGCTCTGTCGTGTACTAGCTGTACTTGGCTCTGTGCTTCCATTTGTAAAACGGGATGTCAAAGCCCTGATTTGAACCCACTAATTATAAAAAATGTTTTGGGACAACTGGGACATTTTCAATATGGATAATTAGATAATTATTATTAGGTATTAGATAATTCCATTAAAGGATTATTAACTTAGCAGATGTGGCTGTGGCATTATAGTTATGTAGTCGATGCCTTTATTTTTTGGAGACTCATGGTGAGCATTTATTTTTAAGTGTCTCACAAAAAGAGGGAAATGAAGTAAGTATAGCAAAATGTTAGCAAACTACATGGGTATGTGGAATTTCATTTTGTCCCTCTTTCTACTTTTCATTTGACCATTTTTATAATAAAAATTATTTGTATATTTTTAAAGATTTTATTTATTTATTTGACAGAGAGATAGAGAGCACAAGTAGGCAGAGGGGCAGGGAGAGGGAGAGGGAGAAGCAGACTCTCTGCTAAGCAGGGAGCCCCATGCGGGACTAGATCCCAGGCCCTTGGGATCATGGCCTGAGCCAAAGGCAGCTGCTTGACTAACTGCCACCCAGGTGCCACAAAAGTCATTTGTATTTTTTAAATAGTGCTCAAGCTCATAGGTTTGTTGTGAAATTTTCGCTAGTTAGTTCAGGTAAGGAACTTAGTCTCTGGCATAGAGTAAGCGGTCAATAAACTTTAACTGTAATAATGATTATTTCATATAATCCTTTCAACACCATCAAGGAGGTCATATTACCCCTTTTACAGATCAAAAAGTTGGGACCCAGGGATAGCAAGTAACCTGTTTAAAGTCACATGTCCTATTCTGGATGTCAGGTTTTCTGATTCCTAGCCTACTGTGTTCTTTCTCACCACACCGCCAATCAGAAATGAAAGCAAACATGGTGCTTGGGTTTTTCTGGGCACCAGTTCCTCTTGGAATCTTTTTAGATCTCAATCAGGGACACTGACCTGTGGAAATGGAGAGGGTCATCGAGTTAGCAGCATGCTGGTTGTCACAACTTTTACCACTGTGAGGGAACAGACTGATGAGTCTCCCAGAGAATCAAAGAGGACATTCAAGAAGGGACAGAATTTTTTCCAGTGGGAGAAAGGGTCCCTGGACTGATGGCCCAATTGTGTCCGCAGATGCCATCCGTGGATCCTTAAGCCTCACAAACCTTTCCAGTCCCATGTCTGGAGTCTATATCTGCAGGGCCCACAATGAGGTGGGCAGTGCCCAGTGCAATGTGACCTTGGAAGTGAGCACAGGTCAGTGAGGGGTAAGTGTGGTTAAGGAGAAGATTGGACACCGGTGGGGGTGGGGTTGCAAGAGGAGAGGAGGCCTCCTGCTGAGGCCTCTCGCTGTTAACAGGACAAAGAGCTTGTCCCGGTCAATGTTTCTACAAATGTCTGGTCACTGCATTTTCTGCTTGACAGGAAGAAGAAAAAAATGTTTATGGTGGCAGTGGGGTAGAGGGATTGGAGGGGGTGGGGACCAGTGTCTCCCCTGGATGTCTGCCCCTAACACCAAGCCTTTTCCAGGGCCAGGGCCTACGGTTGTTGCTGGAGCTGTTGTGGGCACTCTGGTTGGACTGGGGCTGCTGGCTGGGCTGGTCCTCTTGTACCAACGCCGAAGCAAGGCCCTAGAGGAGCCGGCCAATGATATCAAGTAAGTGTGTCTGGTCTCTGCCCCAGTGGGGTTCTCCTAGCTTCCCTTGGCTGGGAATTCAGGCCGCTGTCATCGAAGGGAAAGGTGGGCAGTGACTGAAACGTCATTCCATTGGGGGGATTTTAAGGGAGGGGAGAGTGAAACGGTGTCTGAGCAGGGAATAAGACAAAGCCGGTAGAAATCCTCCCTTCTTCCCCCCTCCAGCTTCTGACCTCTTAATCACTTCTTTGATCACTAGGGAGGATGCCACTGCTCCCCGGACCCTGCCTTGGCCCAAGGGCTCAGATACAATCTCCAAGAACGGGACCCTTTCCTCTGTCACCTCAGCACGAGCCCTCCGGCACCCCCAAGGTCCTCCCAGGCCTGGTGCACTGACCCCCACGCTCAGCCTCTCCAGTCAGGTCCTGCCCTCACCCAGGTTGCCCAGGACAGATGGGGCCCAACCTCAGCCAATATCCCCCAGCCCTGGTGGAGTCTCTTCCTCTGCTCTGAGCCGCATGGGTGCTGTCCCTGTAATGGTGCCTGCCCAGAGTCAGGCTGGGTCTCTGGTGTGATGGTCCAGCCACTTATTACCCAAGCCATCTGGTTTCTCTCCTTCCTATAAGGGTCAGCCCTAGCTCAGAGGCCTGAGTCTTGGGGGACCATCTTCCAGACCTCCAGTCCTCCACCCACATCTTTCTCTACTATGGGAAAACTGAGTCTCAGTTAAGATCCAAACATTCGGGAGGTAGAAGAAGAGGAAGTGGACCTCAGATTAGGAAGAGCGCCCACCCCCTTCCCAGTCCTCCCTATGACTGCAGGGAATGCTGGTCTGGGGGAGGACTGCCGGTAAGTGAGTCCTCCATGCCCCTCCATCTGTACTCCCTATCTAACGGCACCATCACACCCACTTCAGCTCCCTGCGTTTCATATAACCCGTCCTGCTCTCTTGGTTGGGTTTTGTTGGGACAGGGGATAGGGAAGGTATTTTTTTAAACTAACTTGAAATGTGTGTTTTTGTTTTTATTTTGCAAATTTCAATAAAGATGCATTGTGTTTGTATGGAAAGTACGAGTCATATTGCCTTTTCAAACCCTGGAGGGCTTTTCCACACAACTTCCTGGAACAGCTCTTCTAGAGTCATTAAAAGGGTCATTTGTGGGGGCACCTGGGTGGTGCCGCCGGTTGAGGCTCAGATCCTGATCTCAGGATTGTGATCTCAGGGTCCTGAGATTGAGCTCCTGAGTCTGCCAGGGATTTTCTCTTCCTCTCCCTCTGCCCCTCCTGCTCGTTCTCTATCTAAAATAAATAAATCTTAAAAATAAATAAAAGGGTCATTAGCTCTCAGGTATCATGGGGAGGGCCCAAAAAGTCTGAAGCCAGGAAGACCCTAACCCACTCGGAGCAGGAAAGGGTTGAAACCTGGTGCCCTTCCTGCTAAGGGTGCTCACAGACTTGGGGTGTGGGTGCTCTTAATCTCCAGCTTCCTCTTAAGGGTAGGAGGGAGAAACCTGACTTGTTCCTCCCTCTCCCAGACCACTGAGTCCTTAACAAACACATCTTGCCCTCCAGTGCAGTGAGGGAAAGCTGGACATAGGACAGGGTGTAGGTCTGTGTTCCAATTCTGTCACCCCTGTCCTGTCAAGGGTGGGGTCTCCTCCAAGACTCAGTTTCTCTGCCAAGACAAGGAGTGGCTCTGGGAGTGGGGAGGTGGCTGTGGTTTCCATGGAGACTCCTACCTCAGCAAGCCTGATAAAGGTGCCAAAGAAGGATCTCAGACAAAAGAAGGGCTAGGAAGGATAAGAATCTCTGAAGGGGTCAGAAAGGGTCTTCTGCCTGGGCTCATGCTCTGGAACACCAAAGTCGTGATGTCCATTTGCCAACTCAGGTTATTAAAATGCCTCCCTCTTCTTCCGGGGCCATTCTTTGTTTACAGATCACTCCAGATCTGATCCCTTCCCATGGGGTGCCCACCCAAGCCCTGCTCTTTTCCCCGGGGACCTGACAGCTTCAGAAACAGGGGGGAAGAGGAAGGAAGAAGGGAGGGAGGCTAGGATGATTCCAGTATTGGGGCTGGAGGAGGGAGGAGCATTTCCTTACCTGAGGGCAGCGGCCTCTCCCCTTGTTTGCTCTGAGATAGCCAGTCTCGCTGCTACCCTGCACGAGGAGGCTTCCTCTTGGGCGCTGCCTTCCCTCGCTCAGGCCCAGACCCAGACGCCCAGACCCACCCCCAGACAGCTGGACTCGGTCATGGCCCGGCTTCCAGGGGGACCCATCCTCTGCGGGGCCCTGCTGGGCTTTGTCTGCCTGGGCGGTGAGGAGGCAGGGGGCGGGGGTGGGGGTGGGGGGGTAGGGGTGCTGCGCTGGGGGCAGAGGCCTGGCCTCCCGGCTGCGGGTGAGAGCCGGCTCAGTCCTGCGGGACCGGCCGGGGGTGCTGCCCGCCGGGATGGGGAGAAGGCGTCGAAGGCCGGGCGGGCGGGCGAAAGACACAGTCACGAAAACCGGCGGGCAAGTCCGGCCTCCCCGGCAGGGTTTAACCACCACCGGACTATTGTTTTCCTTTCCCTGACAAACACACCCTCATACCTGGCCCAGTCTCGGTCCTTTTACCCACAAAAACCTGGCCGAGATGTGTGCTCCTCCCTCCGGAAACCTCAGGTTTCGAGAAAGGAGTGATTGAGGGCCCGGAGCTGAGCTCCGGAGGAGGGAGGGAGGCACCCCCTACCCAACCCTGGGCCTTGGGAGCCGCGTGTTGGGCCGGACCCCCACATCCCCACCGGGATTTGGGGCCGGGCCTCCACTCCACCCCAGCCCCGGGCCTGGCGCCGCGCGAGCGCCTCTCCCACCGGCCTCCCGTCCCTCTTCGTCCCGCAGGCCCCGGGCTAGCCGTGGAGGTGAAGGTCCCCGCCGAACCCCTGAGCACCCCCGCGGGCAAGACCGCAGAGCTAACCTGCAGCTACAGCACGTCGGTGGGAGACAACTTCGCCCTGGAGTGGAGCTTTGTGCAGCCTGGGAAGCCCATCTCTGAGTCCCACCCCGTGAGCAGAGAGCTGTCCCAATGGAGTGGGGTTGGCTGGGAGAGGCTGGAACAGAGGGCCCACCCAGGATGAGGGTGCTGGTCAGAGAGGCTGGGTTTGGGGATCAGCAAACCCAGGATGCTTGGATGAAAAAATGAGTGGTCTCTTTCTAGATGGTCTTAGGACCACAGTCTGCATGACTCCAAATCCCATATATGGCTCTGTATATCCAACCTCTCTCCCTCTCTCCCCTAACTCCTACAAGCAACTCTCCTATCCCTGTTTCAGTTAATAAGCCCACTGACACTCAGCTTTGGTGATTGTTAGTAAGATCAAATGATGTCCCTTCCAGGAATGTTTGCGTGAATCCGCTCCCCCCCCCCCAATCCCTGCAAATTGAGAGCCATGCTTAGTTGAAAGCAGTAAAACTAGTTCATTTAGCACTTGGGAAGGGATGGTATTTGGGGACAGATAGACCTTGCTTGTTCTGGCTTCAGAGCATTAACTTCCCTGTTTGGTATAAAAGGAGGGGCCCCTAATACCTGCTTATACCTGCTTTCGAAAAAGGACTATAGAGTTGACACCAGGCAGAAAAAGACACTTATGTGTGTCTTCTGCTTCTCCCCAGATTCTGTACTTCACCAATGGCCATCTGTATCCAACTGGTTCTAAGGCAAAGAGGGCCAGCCTGCTTCAGAACCCCCCCACAGGAGGGGTGGCCACCCTGAAACTGACTGATGTCGACCCCTCAGACACCGGAACCTACCTCTGCCAAGTTAACAACCCTCCAGATTTCTACACCAATGGGTTGGGGCTAATCAACCTTACTGTGCTTGGTAAGGCAGGCTGGGGACCCAGCAGCCACCCGTGTACCCTGAAAGATTGCACTGGTCTGGCTAAGTCCTCCCTGCCCCCCAGGCCTCCGATTTCTACCCCAAGCACACACTGCACTGGGGACCCCAAGGGGAAATACCTCCTGCCCAAAGTCCTCCATCCTCCACAAAGAGGGAGGAAGAGGACTCCTCCCTCAGTTCCTAGTCACAAAAGATTCAGGAGAGAGAAAACCTTTCCCATATATAGATCTGAGTTATGCCCCCCAACAACCCTATCTTTGGGGGGACGTCCCATTTGTAGCTCAGATTCTGTCTCTCCTTAGGTCAGTGGCAGAGAAAGGGAGTGGCCATGGAAGGAACAAGGGCCCCTGTTACTAGGCACCAACCTTCTGTGCAGAGTTTCCAGCTCACTCCAACCCAGAAGCTGCTCAGAGATGAGCAGACAGGAACTATTAAAGAGTCTGGGGATGTCTAGATGGAAAAGTGAGGACTTGGGAGGTGTGTTACAACTGCTTTCAAGTATCTGAAGGCTTGTCCTATGGAGGAGAGATTTTTCATTTCTCTTTGTGAGCAGAAATTGGGACCAAATGGGTCGATATTATATTAACACAGATTCTGGCTCAACATGAGGAAGAATTTTCTAACAATCAGAATTTCCAGTAGTGACAATCATTTCCTGGGGATGCAGTGGAATGTGGACAGAAGTGGACTACTGTTTGGTGGGAGTGCCAGAACAGGACATCTAGCACTTAATGGGGAGGTGAGGCAGAGCTAAAAGATGGCTAAGGTACTTTCTTTGATTTTTGCAGTGCCCCCTAGTAGTCCCTTGTGCAGTAAGAGTGGTCAGACCTCTGTGGGGGGCTCTGCTGCACTGAAATGCAGCTCTTCCCAGGGAGCCCCCCGGCCAGTGTACAACTGGGTACACCTTGGATCTTCCCCTACACCTTCTCCTGGCAGCATGGTGCAAGGTAAGGGCCCGGGGCACCGGGCAAGAGGGGACTGAGGACCTGGGCAAATCTGATTTCTAAACTCCATGTCCCCTCACTTCTCAGTTCTGTGCCTGTGGGTCTGAGACAGACGGCTGTACCTTTCCCTCTTCTTTCCTGGTGTCTGTATTGTTCCCTCTTATCTGTCTTCCTGTCATCTGTAGCTCTGTGCTCCTGGAAGAATTTCTCAAGTTACATGTACTCCTGGGATGTTGGAAGACAATGGAAGGTGGGGGGTCTTTTATGATTCCCACTTTTGAGGATTTCTTAAGGGTTGTGGATCACTTCCAAGCTTCCCAGAGAGGAAGCTGAGGCAGAGTAGCGAGGACTGGCTTGAATCATTTAGTCAGTGTCTTGGGAGGAACCAGAGAAATGGGTAAGAGCCTTGGCTTCTCAGCCTTCTCATGCTTGTTCCAGTGTCCTGTCCATTACCCCAGCCCCAGCACACCCCTTTATCAATACAGAGAGCCCCCCAGATCATCTGGTGTGTGTTCTGCCTTCTAAAGGCAGGGTAAGCAGCTTAGTGAAACATTTGGGGGAGCTTTGGGCCACCCCAGAAGATACCCATTTCTGGCAATCAAGCCTTCCCTCCATCCCAGTCAGGAAGCTGCCATCAGCCAGTAAGCATCCCTCTCCAATTCCATGAGTGTGCCCTCTCCCCCTCCCCTGAAAAGGCAGCTTTGCAGGGTGGAAAGAGCACAGAAGTGGCAATGGCTTTGGCACTTCCTTTCTGGGTCACCTCAAATGATCACTTTCCTTCTCAGAGCCACCGTCCCCCCCTAATAAAGGAGATTAGTCCCTTCCTGACAGGATTGTGGTAAGGATGAAATGAAATATGCTGTCATCATAGTAGGCGCTCCCTGAGAGTTGAATGAATGATGGAACCCTTCCTCTTTACCCTCTAGATGAGGTGTCTGGCCAGCTCATTCTCACCAATCTCTCCCTGACCAATTCTGGAACCTACCGCTGTGTGGCCACCAACCAGATGGGCAGTGCGTCCTGTGAGCTGACCCTCTCTGTGACTGGTAAGGGATGCTGGGCAGAGGTCTGGCTGGCAGGCCCAGGCTGGGAAGGCTGCATGAGACATCTGAGCAGGGGCAAGGAAGGTCTGCTCCTCTGAGTTCCTTGTGTCCCCTTTAGACCCATCCAAAGGCCGAATGGCTGGAGCTGTGATTGGGGTGCTCCTGGGTGTGCTGTTCCTGTCAGTCGCTGTGTTCTGCCTGATAAAGTTCCAGAAAGAGAGGAGGAAGAAACCCAAGGAGACATATGGGGGTAGTGACATTCGGTGAGCAGGAGGGTTGGGCGGGGGAGGGGTGTCACAGAAAAGGGGAAAAGGAGAAAAAGGCTTGGGTTATGAGTAGGTGACTTCAGCCCTCAAACTCTGACATCTTTCAGGTTGTTTGGGGGTAAGGAGTGCTGCTCAGCTCTGGGATTTGGTGGTGGGGGTGGCAGGTACAGCAAGTGCACTTGGGTGTGAGCAAGGCACAGGGTGGAGGACTTGGTTCACGGCTTCCCTCACCCTCCTCATACTTAAAAGAATTTTCAGTTTTTAAGGCCTTTTCATATACATATATGAGAGTTGCATCTGTCCTGAGACTTCAACTGAGTTTAGTTCTGTGTGGGAAAAGCTGCCTTGGTCACCCACGTGAGTGGTCAGTCGTGGGGTCCAAAAGAGGGCTCAGAGCAATATTTCACCACGTGTGGTCTTCAGATTATCTGGACAAAAAAATACCAGGGGCTTCTTAAACATTCAGATTTTGGCTACTTCCTATCCCTCCTGAAGCAGTGTGTGTGTGTGTGTGTGTGTGTGTGTGTGTGCGCGCGCGCGCGCGCGCACGCCCACGCACACGTGATGGGGCATGGAATCTTCATTTCAACCCAAATTCCACAGATGATGGTCATTCACAGTAAAAATCTCAAGTCTTGGGACGCCTGGGTGGCTCAGTTGGTTAAGCAGCTGCCTTCGGCTCAGGTCATGATCCCAGCGTCCTGGGATCGAGTCCCACATCGGGCTCCTTGTTCTGTGGGGAGCCTGCTTCTCCCTCTGCCTCTGCCTGCCACTCTATCTGCCTGTGCTCGCTCGCTCTCTCTCTCTCTGACAAATAAATAAATAAAATCTTTAAAAAAAAAAATCTCAAGTCTTTAGGTTAGAGAATTGGTGGGGGTCCCTTGAGCGATACCTCCAGCCTTCACTAAAAAAATTTTCTTCTATCTATCAGGGAGGATGCCACTGCGCCTGGGATTTCTGAGCAAACATCCGTGAGAGCTGATTCCAGCAAAGGGCTCCTGGAGAGGCCCGCCTCTGCCAACAGTGTGACGACCACCAAGTCCAAGCTCCCTATGGTTGTCTGATACCCCCCCCCCCATCCGTGCGGGGGAGTATCAAGAATTAAAGCCTTTGGGCACCATATTGTCTCGCTGTTCTTTCTGCCGGCATAGCAAATTCCTCTAGGCAGCACAAAGAGTATCACCAGTAGAAGAAGGAATGGGCTTGGAGTCCTAGAGGAGGTGCTGTAGGTGGGAAGTTTGGTTGGCTCCAAGAAAGTAGGTTTTAACAAGGTCCTCTTCCCCTATTCCCCACCTCCTCGCCTCTACTTCTTGGTTTGATCAAGTGAAATTTGCTCAAGCTTCAGGCGATGGCCTTGTGTACCCAAACTCCCTTCCCTCCGGCACCCTCTGAATACTTGGACATTCCTCTTTATTGTTCACATTCCAACCCAGCACGGTCACATGCACACACGGAGATAAAAATCCTTCGGGCCACAGCCCCAGGAGCCCGGCGGGGGGCGGGGCTAGCGGGGCGGGGGCGGGGCCGCGGCAGACTCCTCCTACCGAGCCTCCCAGGCGATCGGCGTTTGCATAAACAACATGAGAGCTGGAGAGGGGAAGCAGATTACAGGCAGGCGTGGGCTGGGGTGCGAAATAGGTACTTGGTACTTTTCCTCACGATCGGAGCAGGAGGTATTCAACACCATAAAAACCCTCTTTCCCTCTCTCCTCACCCCAGAGCCAAAGTTCTGGGGCTAGGCTGGGGCGCGAACAGCACGGACACGCAGAGCGCCCCCTTTATCTGAGTACAGAACGAAAGGACTTTTCTTTCTTTCTTTTTTTTTTTTTTAAGTGAGTGTACTTGGGCGACGCTTAGGGCGCCCTCCGCAGTGCGCGCAGGGAAGTGCACGGAGGCTGCGGAGGCAGAGCTGCATGCGGGGTGCGGTCAGAGGTGGGCGAGAAGCAAAAGAAGGAAGATATGAGAGCGCGGGGTTTGGGGCTAGGTTGGGAAGGAAGGGCGAATGGGGACCATATTAGACTGGAGGGCTAACTAAAAGGGCACGGACTTAGCGACTCCTCGACGGAGCCTGCCTGGGAGAGGGGGTCTCTGGGGACGCAGGGAGGGCTCCTGAAGCTGGCAGGCTGGTGGGAAGGAGAGGATCACAAACACTGCAGGGAAGTCTCGTCACTGCGAAGGGGACGCGGCATCCATCTCTCCTCGGCAACTGAGGACAGAGAAGGTCTGAGCACCTGCCCTCCCCGGTACTTCCTCTCCCCCTTCCTTCTCCCTTCCTGAACCAGGACACCGGGGCGGGGAGCGCCAGGGGGCCCTGGTCACCCAGAACCCCCACGCGAGCCACTGAGCTGAAACAAGCCCGCGGCCAGTGCGTGTGTGCGCCGCACTGTGTTTATAGCCTCAGGCCGGGTTTGTGCAGCCAAACACGGGTGGCTGCGTTTCTGTGTTGGTCCAGGTGTGTCCCTGTCGCAGCCTCAGGCGTCCTGATGTATCAGAAAACCCGCAAGCTGGGAGGGGGTGAGGGCGGACAGAGGGAAGGGTGGGGGATTTGGTCCTTTCCTCTTTCCCCCAACCTCAGGCCTCCCACCCGCTTCCGAGTCGTATTCATTACCTTTGAAAATGCTCAGTTCTTCGTCCAGGGCGGGGCAGAAGGGAGGGAGGAGAGAGAGGAACAGGTGAGCTCTCGGGACCCGCAGCGCCCTCAGCCTCCTCCCGGCCACCCACCCCAGGTCTCGGATGTGAGTCCCCCACCCTTAGCTTCCTCTCCACCCCGCAGCCCGCCCGGAGTCTTCGGGTTCCTTCGTGGGGGGGAGCGGGGCCGCTCTCAGCAGGCCCCAGGCTTGGGAAGGGGGGAACCTGCCGCCCGCTGCGCCCTGCCCGCCTCACCTGGTCTAGTCTCCGCTGGGGCCGCCGCCCGCGCCTCCCCGGGCGCCCCCAGCTCCGCCCGTTCCCCCGTGGCCCGGGCCCTTCCGGCCGCGCTCTCCACTCTTTATCTTCTTCCGCGCCATGTGGCCCCGGAAACTCGCCTGGATTTTGGCAGCTGCTGCGTTGGCGCCAGGATCGTCCAGCGGGATGTCTAGGATGTCGTCGTCCGGCTTGGAGCACGCGCTCTCCTGGGGGCGGGGCAGGGGGTACTCGTGGGGTGACTGGGCTGAGACCCCGCGAGGGTGGGGTAGGAGTAGAGCCATGGGGGGCCCAGGATGAGGACGACGCGCGAGTGGGAAGCGCAGAGAGGGGAGCTCGGGCGTGGAGAAATAGCTGAGCAAGGGCCGTGCACGCTGCTCTGTGTGTGTGTATGTGTGTGTGTGTGTGTGTGTCCCTTCTGGAGAGAGGCAAGCAAAAAGTTAGGGTCAGGGTCAGGTGAACAGCTGGGTTTCCAACTCGGGAAAGAGTCGTGCACGGTGGAATGGGGCCAAATAGCTCTAAGTGAGGGAAGGGTCCATCACCATCCGCTGAGCTGGAGAGCAGCGGAGCTGATGGAGGGTGGGCTGGGAGGAGCAAAGTAAACAGCCGCAGGGACTCCTGGACGTGGCTGCTCCTCCCATGTCCTCAGAGGGTGCCTCCAGCTCAGAAGGGCCCCTTCTGAGTCTAGGATTCCCTGGGACAGGGTGTAGAAGGATCAGGCCAGTCCCTTCCCTAGGTAAGATCACATCAGGACTCAAAGCTGGAATTAGGGTGAAGGTGGGGCTAACCCCTGGTCAGCCTCCCTCCACCTAGGGCTAGAGGCCAAGAGACTGCTTTGCCAGTGATTCTTCCTTTTCCAGTGCTCCCCTGGAAGTACTCAAACAGCAGAGAGGAGGTGGTCTGGAAGAAGCTACAGAGAAAAGGCTTCACTCCAAAAAAGGACAAAGGAAAGATAAGGAGGAGCAAGAAGCCCTTGGTGTTGTGTGCTCCAAAAGAAAGGCATTATGACAATAGCTACCCATTAAGTACTTCTCTTGTTCCAGGCACAGTAACACAATGTTTTACAGACATTATTTTATTTAGTCCCGGCAAAGCTATGACGCACCTTTTATTGTCATCCTAGCTTACCTCTAATAAAACTGATGATTCAAGTGTTTATAAACCTTGCATGAAGTCGTACAGATAGCTACTAGTAGACCTAAGATTCAGACCCTTGCATGTCAGAGTCCAGAGTATATCTTCAACCCCTATTCCGTAGGATAAGCAAAGGCAGCCAAGAAAATGAGCCAAGCTCTTCCTCTTGTTACCTAATGCTTTCTCGTCTCAGCTCCTTCACCTGCAATCAAAATCATCGTATCTACTCTATGGGTTGTGAGGAAGAATAAACAGCATGATATACATCCTCTGTCTGGCACAATCTAGTTGCTCAATAAATGGTAGCGATTATGATGATTCTTTTAATCAGTAAGTTGATATGAAATAATTGTTTCTGTTGGCCAAAAAACCCCCAAAATTCAATTTCATATGGATCAGCCTATAATAATCACATCCACCACCAGGCTTCAGGTTTCTGTCTCCCACAGCCTACCCTAGCTGAGACAAGCAAAGGTTAGGGACTTGATGGTATTGATTTTAGAGGTAAGGCTCTGGAATGGAGAGGGCCTCAGTCTCTGAGCCCCTTTCTTGCTTAATATTATGCACAGCACTAATGTGGGTTGGGATGCAGACGGTTACTATGGAGTTAAAAAGGCATTTCTCTTTTGATCTGACCCTCTGGCTTCTGGGCATTGTATTTATCCCCCTCACCCCCACCCAAGGACTTCTACTGCTTTAAAAATCATACTTCACAATGCTGAACTTCACAGTTCTGCCATTTGTGCTCAAGATGCCCACAACTGATTTAAATGCAGTTAAACAGAGTTATTAAGAGCCAAGATGGTTGTGGACGGGATTGGCATTCTTTTTGTCTTCTGCAGGTCTAGCACTCTCTCTCTTTTTCTCCCTGACCTCTTATTCTCCACCTATAATCAGAAACAACTCTTTCGGGTTCCTTGATTCTCAGAGCTCATGCCTCTCGTGGGATATCCTTAGGGAACAGTGATTTAAAACAAACCAACCAACCCATCCCTGACCCACCTATCCTTGGCCAGCAGCTATGGAGGAAGGGGTCTCTTCCCCAATCACGCTGTGGCCAACCTGCTGTCTCTACCCACCTCAGCCAGATCCAGAATGGAAACCTGGAACAGGCAGAGCTACCCAACACACTGCTCCTCCCCCAGATCAGATCCTTCTCCCTCCAGCTGAATTCTCAGGGCAGAGCTGCTAAGTGGCCTGTCCACAGGCAGAACCAGAGAGAGAATAAATGGAATCCAGGAAGGGTCTCGGCTCTGGGCTGGTGCCTTCCAAAGCCTGAGAGCTCCGTATGAACCAGAGGTGGAAATTTGCTCTAAAGGGTCAAACAGGAACCATGACTTCTGGTCCCAAGCGGGCATACCACTTCACCTCGGGGGGGGGGGGGGGGGTCCTCAGTTTCTTCAGCTGCAACTGGAACTTGGCCTAGAGGGATAAATCCTTTAGGTCCCCAATCCTAAAGGCCTTAAGAATTATCCCTGC